GTTTGAATCTTTTTGCTCCAAACAGAAAAGGGTAGCCATATCACCTATGCCAATAGCGTTGCTGTAGTTATTATGAGGTATAAATAATAAACAGAGAAAGTGCTTTTAGAATACACTACTTACATTTTAACAATTGGATTTTGAATTTATCCCACCATGGGTGTCAGAACCTTGATTACTGTAATTCTGAAATCTCTTTTGACCCCAACACCCTACACATCTAATATTATCATACCTGGTCTTGGCCTGAATGCAGTAATGCCAGCCTAAGATAAACTGATGAAAGATCAACAGTACTGTAACTTTACAGCTCCTGAAACCTCAGTACTTTGCATGGTTTAAGGTTGGCACATGATGAGAGAAGGGCTCCTTCACAGCTTTGTGGTAAAAAGAACTTCAACAGATCAAGGCTGGATCTACACTGATCTGTAAAAACGCTATTAAAGGCTATTTTTAAATATATATATATATATATATATATACTGTAACTCTCAATGCAATTTCCCATTGCCTACGTATTGCTGCAGCACTCTCTGTTGTCACATTTTTTAATAACATATTTTTAATGATAGAACCAACCGGTGAAGATTTTCCCCAAGCCTTTTCTAGTAAGGAAATATAGGAAGAAGAAAAACGTCACGTGTTGACATTTTGTTTGTCATGCAGCTTATTAGTTGTGTGTAGCCCCTGATTTATTTGGAAGCTTGTCACCTGACCCAGAGAAGAATATGTAAATTTGCATATGACACGAAGCATATGCAAATTTGGGTCCTCTTTTACTGGTAGAGTGGAGGTTCCCAAATCCTGTTGGCAGCCTTGGTAGAATGCCATACTATCTGAATGGCTGCCCATATCTAATGAGATAAAGGTGCATTTCCTCAACACTCTGTACCCTAGAGAATTCCAGAAAAAGAGAAGCAAAAGAAAAATGTTCCATAGCACAAACGAAAAAGGAATTTAAAGGCCAAGCTGTTCATTCTCACAGTATCCTACTACTTCTGGCACTTTGCTAGCTCCCATGTCTTGTTACAGTTTTCCAGATAGTGAGACACAATTGAATCACTAAAACTTATAAGAACAATTATTTAAAAATAACTTCGGTAAGATATATCTGTAGCTATGAAAAACTTGATATAATCCAATTTAATCTCTTGAGATCTCTGACAATTCCCTGAGGGTAATTCAGGAGAGCTTCTGACAAGTATTAATTTCATATCACTGTATATATACATGGGCTAGAGCTGATTTCCTTACAAAGGAGCAGTGGGAGTTTGAGTGAAAGGACTTTCTAGACACTACAGAAATGGTTTAGTATAACTTGGTTCTCATTCTTGGTAAACCTCCACAAACAGCCTGTATATTGGTCACTTTGAGTGACATTCTATGGCAAAAGGCTTTGTGAGGTGATATTACTGGGTTACAGAGATAAAGCTTTATTGCATTTCATTCCTAGAAAATATGGATTTATTCATTTCCAAGTCAGTAAGAGGGAATATAGGCTACTTCCCATCCTTCTAAGAAGGCTTTCCTTCCTTGCTGTAAAACTCCTGCTTGCAAGTCCGTGTACTTGTTGAGGTAAGAGGGAAGAGTAACATAGCTGTTAGTCCAGATTTGCTCCAGCCTGGCAACAGCAATGAACACAACCCCTTACACTAATACCTTTGGTTCTGCAGTGCTAGGTGTTGGGGGTCCCCAGTGCCCTAGCAGCGTAGGACTGGTAGAAATTAAAATACAGTATTCCATTCCATTATGTAATCAGCTCCACCAGTTTCTTTGTAAGCATTGTCTACTTTTCAAGAGAGAGGGAGACTGAAATTGTTTCTCTTACAACAAAATCATCTTTCACATAACATTAATTTTAAACATAAAGAAGAAGACTTAAAAGACATACATGTATTACCTTAGCTATAAGTTGTTTTCAGGTATGAATTTACATATACTTTCTTGGAAATTCAAATTATCTTTCTTTTGTTCTTCTTACTGAAAAAAAACTTTGTAAACAAGTTTTTTAAAAGCATTAGTAGCACTTATGGTCCTGGTAAAATCTTAATGGAAAATTTTGTTTTGTGCAGACATTTCATTTGAAGGTGAACTATTACTACTGAAAATCAGCTATACACTGCCACTGCATATGGGCACTGAGATGCTTATTTCAGATTCTGATTGCATATGCATTGGCTTGTAAAAAAGAACTTGCTTATTTTTTTCATCTTGAATCTGGCAATCAACATTCTGCACCGTTCAATTATTCCAAGCCTGTGATTGTTTGGACTTTCTCAGCATGTTCCCATATAATATCTATAAAGCCCTGATTTTTATTTTAATGTATCTACTATCCATGATGGTGTCATTTTGTGTATGGCCTTGGGGTTTTCCAGTAGTTTTGTAAAATTAACCATAAAGCTTCTGCGCTATCTGCCTTGCATGATGGCATAACTGGATTATTAGCTAAATTTACTCGGACTGACCTTGTTGTGAATGATCTTAGTCTTCCAAATGTATTATTTGTGTTATATCGACTTCCCATCAGGTTATCAATTCCACACATGATTCTCTGTAGGCTAAACACTTTGAAAAATATATTTATATATTTTTGTAACATTTGAATTGTAACAACTATTGCTTGGTCACAACTATATTCTTCCTGGGCAATTTGTTCAAGTGGCTGCTGTTTGTACAGCTCAGTCACTCTTAGATGATTCTGACTATCTGCATCCATTTCAACCTGCCTTCAGACCAGTTTTCACCTCAAAAATGTACCTGGAGAATTCTGCTTTGTGACTTTTGATACCTTGATTGCAACATGCTCCTGGATAAACCATCTGGATTAGAGATTGGCAGACTATACATCAGTGGATCTATTCCTACTTGGGGACTGCTTCCATAGGGTGTAAAGCTACTGCTCGTAGGGGTCCTGTCAGTCTATATTCTGTTCTGGAGTCTGCCTAATTAAAGCCTGTCATTTCTCACACTCTGCATAAACCCCCTTGTCTGCCATCTGAAGGCCTGCTTCTGGTCCCATCTGAGGACCTCTTCCAGGTTAACCTGCTGTCTTAAGTTTGGTGGATGGTGACTGGAGAGAGAATCTTGGCCATTGTGGCCCTTTGAATATGCAACACTCTCCCTAGGAAGGAATGCCTGGTCAAAATTCTAACGTACTTTCAATGATGTGGAGGACTTTTTGTTTGCTCAGGCTTGTTATAACTGGTTTTATTGCCATTTTATAGCTTTGCTGGGATTTTTAGTGATTTTGATGTAATCTTCTGTGATTCTGTTGCAATCTTTAAAATGATTACCCCGGTGGCTGAAATGATTTGGTTGTACCTGTTTTTAAGGGTATGAAACTGCTGTTAACTAATGGGTGGCTTTAAAATTCACTAAAGAAAGAAAGAATACTGTATGTGCTGAAGTTAAGAGGTATACACAGTGGAAATGAAGTTCCCCGATAGAAAATTATGTCACATAATCACATTGCTCCACTTCCGCACCTGTTCACCTTCCCTAATATCGGAATTATTTGAAGGAGTAGAGACTTGTGGCTTCTGTTCCAAAAGAATACAGGTAGAGCTGCTAGGGTTGTGAGCGCGTAGCCCTTTTTTAAAAAGCTGAACATTGATCAGAGGCAGTTTTAGGGTGGTATGAATGCTGTAGAATGGAGTGAGAGAGGCAAGGGGCGCCAAATTTTAGCGCTGCGCAGGGTGCCACTGAAATTTGAGAGCCCCAGATCCACCACTGCATTGATCAACCAACTGTATGACATGGAAGAGGAAGCAAGGGAGACTGAATTGAGCTCCTCTTCCTCCTCTTGAACTTCTGACTGGTGAAATTTTATTTGTACTTAAAGGTCTGTATGCACACAACTCTGCTGTTCAACTAAGAAGACAAATCACATACATATTGGTTTGCAATTCCTTATCTAGTTACATAGATAATGGCTGATAGTAGTCTAGTTAAATACATATGTGAGTATACATACATGAACCACATCATTTTAATGTACCTAGATAACTCAAGAGATCAATACTTTAGATTCGTTCTGACATGCAGTGACCACGTGGCTTATATGGGATCTACCAAATTCCTGCGTTGATTATGTGTATGATGTATGAGTGCATACTCATCCCATAGGGATTTCAGTGCATTTCAGTGTGTGTGGCACACAAATGCATACTGCATATATATTCTGCAGGATCAAAGTTTTCATTAATGCAAAAATCAAAAGTACAAAGAAAAAAGAAAACATAATCAAACTACAGTATAGAGGTTGACATTTCCAATTAAATAGAGAGCAGGTAACATAGAAAAATAAAAGCAGCAAAACACATCATGAAAGCAAAGGTTCATAATTCACTGGGGGAAGAGAGCTTTGTATATCTGAATTTCACATGTAAGAAATGATCCCCTCCCAATGGTACAGAAACATGGTCTTCTTTACCTCTAGTCCCATGTGATGGTCTTTTAGGCACTGAGTGAAAATCTTTTTCTTTCCTCCAAAGCCTTTAATTTTAATGGGTATATTATTATTTTTTTGGTGCTTTCAGATTCCTGCATCAAGTTAATTTAATTTGCTGGTTTTATATTGGCATAGATACAAAGCTAGGTTGTGTTGGTGGTTGTTGTTGTTTCTGCTGTTTTCTATTATTATAGGTTTTATTGTCTAAACAATGGATTGTATTTTGCATTTTAATAGGGCTGTAAACTAAATTATAATGAATAAAATAATACAATAGTGCCCCTACTTCTCTCGCTCATATATAGGGCATTCATTCATATGGGGGAAAGCAAGGAGAAATATAAACATTCATTATCTGAAGGGAACCTGCTTTCTTCCTTTATTGACCTCAAACATTGAGAATCAAACTTGCTGCTATCTGTATAAACTCAAGCTAGGTTCTGTTTCTAGGTCACACTGGGAGAGTCAGGCTGAATGATGGATCTGAATTTTACATTTAGAAAAAGAGGTATACTTAATCAAATCAACTGTTCTTCTGTTTTTACAGCTTGTAGGTCAGGATTCTACAAAGCATTTGCTGGAAATATAAAGTGTTCAAAATGCCCTCCACACAGCCAAACCTTTGTGGAAGCAACGTCTGTGTGTCAGTGTGAAAAGGGTTACTTTCGAGCTGAGAAGGATCCAGCAACTATGGCATGTACCCGTAAGTGTGAATCATATTGGTATTTGAAATTCTTTCCTTGTCTCTCTCATTATCTCAGAAGACAAAAATAGCACTTATTTTATATTCCTCTCACAAAAGCTAAAAGTATGAGAGCATGTTTTCGTTAATCAAGAATGCAAATCAGGTTTTCATTTATTCCCAGTGCTCCTTTAAATAAGCAAAAAATGCTCTTCAATCTAAAGTGCCTTTTAAAAACACCACCACAATACTAGATAGAATGTTACCAAAACTATATTATTAACAGAGTGACCACACATTTCAAATCTGGGTACTGGTATACATAATATATAATGTGTATAAGGGGGGGGGACACCTTTGTACAAAATGAGCATTTCATCCATGCTATACATGGATGAAAACACTCCATGTACTGCAACATATCTATAAAGTATATATCCTGAAAATGCCCTTGGAAAAATAAATACCAGACCCCTTTAACAGACTCAGATATAGTTGCAGTGCTTAGAGTTTAAAATGGGACTATAACATCATGGCTCAGGATCAAATGACCAATTAAAACAAAATAAAGCTATTCCAATTCCCATCAGCCACTCCCAAAGGCAGTCCTGGCTGGCAAGTAACGTAGTCTAACTGTGTGAAAAGTCATATTGAACTTCCATTACAGCACTCTGGCGAAGAGTCTCAAACAGTTATACATATTGCCATGGCTGTCACAACCCGCTCATTCAAATGAATTGCTGAGGAAACCCGACCCACATTACCAGCCCCTTCCCACATGCCAATAAGCCTTAGGATGGTGAATCTGGCAGGCTCTAAGGCGTTTGATTTATGAGTTATGGAAGATAGCTTAGGAAGCTGTCTTACAACTGTTTCCGGATATTTATCATGTTCTCGCACTTTCTCAACTCCACTCCGAGATTACATTACAATACCCAAGTAAACACAGGTGTCATCGTAGCCTGACAGTACAGAATAAGTGGACTAAAAATAACTCCTTAGCAATGTCCAGTTTAGATATGGTATTTAAAAAATAAAAATCCTGCTCAGCACCATGACAACCGGCAGAACCCATAGTGCTAGGAATCTGGAGAGGATTGATCGTCCTGTTCCAGGAGGTGATGGTGATGGTTATGATGACAATAATGGCAAACAACAACAACTTCTACTGTGACCCTGAATTTGTTGAGGATTTAAATCTAGGTTGCACATACTCTAATTAAATACTATGAGAACTGTGTTCTAACTGCCTTTGGGACTGTTAAACCTCCAGGAGGACCGATGCAGAGGCAAAGGGTCATTAGGGTGGAAAAGTGACCTTTGCAAAATTGTCTGATACCTCTTGCCTTCCTGAATCACTTTCTGATTCTTAATAGTCATCAGTGCTTAATATTTTGTTTATAAACAAGACATATTAATAGTTATAAAAGAAAATAAACCACAGTTGGCTTCTTTCTAATTTATGATTTTATAATGTGGACATCAGTACAATTTCAATCTGTCTTGTTCCTGAATGGTGCGACACTTTATTCTACTTATATGATGGGATAGGTTAATGGGATGTTGAAGCTGGATTGCAATTCAGTAAGAAAAGCATATTAAAGATATACTGATCAAGGACTAGAGAATGACATAACAAATCCTTCATCCTTACTACGACTTTGGCATGTTTCTACAACAGCAGCTCCAGACAGTAAGCCATTTCTGAAGCACAAAGTAGTGTCAAAATAATTTTTGAATGTACACCAAGATACCTTTGTATATTCAACATACCTTTATGGATCCCAGGCAGTATTTTATTCTTTTCTATATAATAAATTATACAGGCATTAGTATAATTATTATACCTTTACTGCACAAAACTGGAATTGTCACAATGTCTGATGCATGTTGGTGAAAAACATTAATCTTTTAAAACTGTCAGTATACTTGCTTGCCTAAACAAAATATATAGCATGAAGAAATTCCTGAGCGTATTGCTCACAGATGCCTGCAAAAAGGTTATGGCTGCCAGTTTTTTTTCCCAATGTGACATATAATCTATGCATAATTTATAAGTGATAACAAAGCAATCAGGCCACATTCATAAAAATCCCAATGACACATAATTTAGCAGAATCTGAGGATTAGAATTAATTGTCTCTCTTTGTTCCAAGTTCTAAATCTTAGTAAATGATTCACTGCATGTCATTACAGCTTAATATTTGCATGAAATCACAGTTTAGATGGCATAATTTAATGGCAATTAAAAACCTATTTAATCGTCATGCAAATTGGCACGAGGGCCCTTGAGTATGAAGGGTGTCTATATCTTCAGTATCTGCAGGCGGACAGTTATAAACTTTGAAACACTCCTACTACAATTGATAACAATTTTCCTGTTCAGAGCAATGTGAATGCATAATAAATCATATTTTTATCCTAAAATAAGACCAAGTTTCTCTGTACATTTCTTTACCAAACAGAACTATTAGCAATCATTGGGAAATTGAAAAAGAAAGAAACTAACAGGCATATTTTTTTTTCAGGTGCACACTGAATATAATTATACATAACATACACAAACTAAAATAAATCAAGATAGCATACAGGTACTTTGTCAATAATTGGATGTGATGCTGCACATAGTCTCCCTCTCTGATACAAAAGCCTTTTTTAAAAGAAAGGGCTAAAATTCTTAAGACTGATTCTTCAAGAGCAAAAATGGGAGGAAGTTTCAACTCCCTGATTCTGTTTCCCCTACAACCATCTGATTGGTAGAATTCGCTGTACTTCTATTCCTGTTGGCATTTGTAGATAAAAGTCAATGGGTGAGAACAGTTGTGGCCCTGAGAGTTTAAAATCCAGATACCAGATTCTATGGTGTGGGCATAATTTGCCATCCTAACCATACAAGCCCCATCCTGACTCTGTCTCGAGTTCTGTTCCTAGTATTTTATCTGACTGTTTCCTGACTTTGTGTCTAACATGTTCTTTTGTGATCTTGGCATGAGTTCCTGTAGGACAGTTTACATGTTCCATAAGAACAATATGAGGGTAGCTGGCTTTTGTTTTGTTTTTAAGAATATACCATGTTTGCCACATTTAATTTGTGTCTGTAAATGATGAAAGAGGGCTTTGGGGGTTATATATATATACTAGTTCTAATGACAAACTATTTCCCCTTTTCCTTAGGGCCTCCTTCTGCTCCAAGGAACGTAATTTTTAACATAAATGAAACAGCTCTCATGTTGGAATGGAGCCCACCAAGTGACACAGGAGGAAGAAAAGACCTCACATATAGTGTCATTTGCAAGAAATGTGGATCTGATGCCAGCCAGTGTGAGATATGTGGAGGAGGCATCCGATTCATTCCAAGACATACTGGACTAATCAATTCCTCAGTAACTGTGCTTGATTTTGTGTCTCATGTGAACTACACTTTTGAAATAGAAGCCATGAATGGAGTCTCTGAATTAAGTTTTTCACCCAAGCAGTTCACAGCTATCACAATCACTACAGACCAAGATGGTAAGTTTGTGCTATTTGTATATCAGATATACTTAGAGCTTATGTCAGTTTTGTGACCCCCCCCCCCCCCCGGAGTCAATAGAAACACTTAAAGCTACTCAGATCATTTATTCTTCCATGTTACTATTTTGCGCGGTGGAGAGGAAATGGTTTTAGGATGAAATAGGAGGTGTTAAAATTAATGGGGCTATCCAGATGAAAAGGTGTTGCATTAACTGAAATTAATACAACGCTGGGACATATACTTAATTTTTTTAAGGCATGCCAGAAGTTCTGTGTTTTTTCTCTGTTTTACAGTGTGGAATTACTGGTGGGAAAGTCGAGGCTTGCTGATGTGTAAACTCTGTAAACTCCATTCATTTCAATAGTACACAGTGGATGTGACTGTAATTGCAGCTGTCATCCCATTGAAGTCAATGGTAACATTTCCATTGACTTCAGTCATTTGGTTGCACCGAGCATCTCCATGTTTATCTGTGTAAGAAATGTACTTCAGATATTTAAAATATCAATATATACATATTGATACATGTCTCATGAATTTAATTTCACAAAATGTATCTCCCCAGCTAGTTTGATAGCTACAAATGTAAGGTATTTAAATATTATGACATTCTTATATGAATGACCATATAGAATTTGGTCTATATAGAATTGGTATTGGAATTACTAAAGGGAGAATATTCAGTTATTGTCCCCAGGCCTCCCTATTGTTTTTGAGCCAGTTGCATAGGAAGACAGTTACATACAGACTGACAAGTATGGCTTCATCTTGGTTTTATTAAGTTGACAGCTACAATGATCAATATGTATGTCCAATAGAAAACCAACCTTCAGAACTTAAAATCAAATTCACACTTACCAGTAATTTAAAGCCTTATGTAGGTATTTAATCAGTGTTGTGGCTGCATGATGACCTGGTGTGTCTGCATGCCAAGGAGAACCCTAGATGCTTGTGGGGGATGTTCACATTTTAATAATAATAATAAAATAAAAAAAAATGGCATGACAAGGTTTGAGCATGCTCATTGCTGTCCAGGAGACACATAGGCTAAAAGGGTGGAATTTAGCATCTTCTACTTGTTCTGTCTGTGGAAGTGTTCCAGCTTGCCAAATGGAACAATGCCTCCTCCCCCTGTGCATTGTTCTGGAAGTTCTCCCAACCCTCTGCCAAACCAATTTCAGTTGGCATAGGGGGAAGAGAGGGAGGAAAGCTCCTTGCAGAAGCAAATGTCCTTGTGCAGGACTTCCACTTACGGGACTGGTTTGGTGAATCCTGCCCAAATTATCAAAAGGGCTTCAAATTAATTAGGATCAGTGGGAAAGCACTTCTTCCAATCCTAATTTGTTTTACAAGGATTCTATCAGATGCAAAACCCTTTTTGCAGAGGTGCAAAATCTATGAGCCTCTGGTTGCTATTGGATTCCCATCAGCCTCTACCAGCATTGTCAGTGGTCAGGGATGATGACGGCTATAATTCAGCAACAGATGGAAAGCATAGGTTCCTCACCTCTGGCTTAAAGTATCCTGGGTTGTGAGTCCCTTCATCCCAATTTCCTCTTCACCCCCACCCTCCCATCCCCCCAACACTATTGAGCAGAAAAAAATAAAAAATACCCACACACACATTCACACATCGAGAAGTTTGGGGATGAATGAGCTGCTTTGCCTCAAATCTCAGCAGTCAGAACCAACAGTATCATCAAAAGGGTATTTCCAAACCATTTATATCTCATCTCCCCATGACTCCTTGTGAGCCACCAACTTTTCACTGTATAGCCCTGTGGGTAGTAATCACTGTTCTAATAGCACTTCTATAAAAGGGAGAGAAATCATATTGATAAGTGAAATAAACAGCAATAATTAAACAGAGTTCACATGAGCTTCCTTCCATATTTTCATATTTTTGTCTATAAGGCTTGCCCTGCTGCACAGCTTTTTAATTGTTCTACTAACATGTATTTTTGAAAACACTCTAATGGCCTATTTCAACTACATTTAAATTTACTTAACAGCTTATTCTCTACTTTACATTTCCTCAGTTTCTAGGGAGGAGAAGAATACCTGTTCACTACCATTGTTAATGATACCATATGTGTGCAGCCCTTTACTTACTAGTGTGCAGTTTTCAAATGGCTATTGCACTTGCTATATAATTTGCATCAATGCCCCCAAAGTCATTAATTTTCTTTGCAAAGATACTGACATAATTTACCTTTGCTCTTTAAAATATATAGTTTTCAACCATCCCTCTTTTGTACATCCATTTCTAGGCAGCAGAACTGGTGCTACCTTCATAAACATGCTTTATGAAGGCTTGCCATTTCATTTATCACCATGTCTTTTTCTGCAAAACTCTTCTTTTATGTCCAAATAAACTGACTGAGACTCTGAAAAGTGATCCTTAAATTCTTTGAAGCTTTACCAGTAGCACTGTTAATAATGGAAGAATTATTGTGGGGAATGCAAGCAGCGTACACACTTGGGTTTTACTGTCGGGCTATCATAGATTACAAAGGCAGAGGCCTTTCCTTGCTTGGATAAACTACAGTGGAAACCAACACAGTTATATGAAAAGCAGACAGTGGTAAAAGATACATATCTGCTGTCTTTAAAGATAAATCTTATGCCATCTCTCTGGCCATGCACATTTACACAGGAGTCCCAAGGATATGAACCAGCATAGCTTTCTTTCCATTGCTGGCATAACAACTGTGGTAAAGGAATGTAAAGATTAGAGCTCCTTGGAATTTATTGTAGAGTATTGTGCATAAAGTCCAACCTCAAAAAGATTAATGAGATTCTTATACGAGGGGAGGGGATATAAGCATACCTTCTAAGTGCCCTGGGGGGAAACGGGTTATCCCGTTTTTTTCATGCAAGTTCTCAGCAGCCATATTTGGTGCCTCAATCTCATCCTTTCTTGCGCTGTGCTCTTGCCCTGAAAAGAATACCGGGGGGGGGGGGGTGAGGCATGGGTCATGTGACTTGCCCGGGAGCCTGTCTCAGAAGACATGCATTGTGGTTTGGGGTAGTAAAAAGTTGTACAATATGTTTAAGACCACCACATTTGTTGAATAAAGGTCAGAAAATCAAAGCTCTCTTAATTTATTTATCATTTGTTCCATTAAGGTATTACTTCCCATGAAACATATCAAGCTAGCAATAATAAAAACATCAACAAACAAAAACAGATGAAACAATTTCAAGTCCAACACAGATATAGACTGCGAGATAAATCTATGTATTAATTAGTTTCAATGAAACACTCTGTGAGAAATGCAGTAAGATAAATAAAGGACCAGGGATAGGTGCTCTGACTGCTAGATGGTCAGTCTAGGACACTATGTAGGGCTGTGTCATAACAGAGTGGGGAATGGGAACACTGTGTTACAGTGGTTCCTATGTCCAGGACCAAAGGCAAACAGTAGTATTGGGATAGTGCTTTTCAGCTCCCTGGGGGTTGTGTTATGGGCTGCTGCAGAGGATAATGCCAGTGCTTTTTAATATCTATATAAAGCTTCTGGAAGCGGTCATTAGGAGTTTGGGAATAAGGTGCCATCAGTATGCTCTGTTTCTCCGTAACATCTGAACTGAGAGAGGCTGTGCAGTCCCTGGACTGGTGCCTGGACACAGTTGTGAGCTCAATGAGGAAAAACAAGCTAAGCTTGGATCCTAACAAGACAGGAGCATTGTGGGTGAGTGGTCCCCACGTCTGAGAAATTGGTCAGTTGCCTACCATGGATGGAGTTGCACTTTCCTAGAGTTCCTAGTGAAGATTGATTGACTGGTAAACCACTCTGAAAATTATTGCTGTGGGAGGGGAATAGGGCCTCCTAACAACTCTCAGCCCCCTTAACAAACAATAGCTCCCATAATTCTCTAGAGGAAACCATAATTGTTTAAACTGGGTACCATATGATGTGACTGTGGCCACAGTCTCTCACACCAGTGGTAATGAAATGCCTTCATATTCCCATATGTAAGTGCAATTGGTCAAATTTAGATCACATGATTCTGTTGCTGGTGTGTGCCTGTCAACTTACCATAATTTTCATGTCCAGTTAACATTATCCTGCTGGGCCCAGTGTGTAAGGTAAATTTCCAAAAGGAATTCCCATCAGCTCTAGCCAGCGCAGTTATAGCCCAAACCATCTGGAGGGCATCAAATATCAAAACAGAATCCAGGCTGTTACTCTTGAGTACGCCTGAGGGAAGCGTGACTCTTCCTTCAATTTATCTTGCTTCTCCAACTTATGAACAGAACAATTTTTACCTGACAGGCAGTTTAGAAACAAAGGTGATGAGGGACTATGTCATAATTAAATATGATTGGCTTTTACTAATATCTGAGTCAGAGATGAAACATCTATTGCAGACCTGAATCTGAGCACTTTTATCATGATAGAAGAGTAAGAAGAGGCTTCAGGAGGGTGAGAAAGAAAAAAGTGTCATGTTCCCTTCCCTCAAATTTTTCTTCCTGCTCTGCAGCATAACCTCTTTCCTTGGAAGTTTTAAAGCAGAGCTTGGATAGCCATCTGCCATAGATGTTTTAGTTGAGATTCCGGCATTGTAGGGGGTTGGACTATATGACCCTTGGAGTCCCTTCCAACTCTACAGTTCTATGATATGACATCATTATGATACTCTCTGTGAACAAACTAACTGCCATCATTTTTCATTGTATACAATATCACATTTGTGTTTACCTCGTGAAAGACAATGTGAGCCATGTATTTATACTATATTTAGTGCTTTTTTCTGGGGGTACGCAGGGGTACCCCTAAACATTTTATGAATCTAAGTTTGGCCTCATTGAGAGGCAGTATTTCAATATGAGTAGGAAAGTGAGAGCGCCCCTAAATTTTTTTTTATAAAAAAGCACTCGTATGTGTGTACGTGTGTGCGTGCAGATAATGTATTTATCAAAGCATATAGCTAAAGAAATGAAAACATAGGTTTGGTTTTCAAGTTTTGGCAATTTGATCTAGCAGTGTAC